GCAAACCAGAGCACTGCTGCCACCAGCCAACAGCTTGTGTTGCTCCATCACCAGACAATGAGCAATCTGCATGACAAAAGTGTTGGGAAATAAATCAGCACTGAGTTGCATTAATTCTGAATCAGGTTTTCATAAATGGAAGCAGACATCTTGGCCAGTCTGGCTTTGCCACATGGTCCTGTGCTGATGATGCACTTATCAGCCTGGGAGATTTATTTCCTAAACCAATGCAATCCAGGTGAATGGAAAACGACAAGCCTGCCTTCGTCAGAGGAGATGGGATGGGGTTTAAGCAGAGCAAGAGTCCACCAGAGACACAGGAAGGCATAATTTCAAAGAAAGTTGGAGAGGGACTTTTTACAAGGGCATGCAGTGACAGGAAAAAGGGAAATAGTTTTAAGCTGAAAGAGGGCAGATTTAGGTTAGATATTAGGAAAAAAAAATTCCCTGTGAGGGTGGTGAGGCACTGGCACAGGTTGCCATGAGAAGCTGTGGCTGCTCCATGCCAGGTTGGACGGGGCTTTGAGCAACCTGGTATAACGGAAGGTGTCCCTGCCCATAGCAGGGGGTTGGAACTGTATGAGCTTTAAGGTTCCTTCCAACCCAAACCATTCTGTGTTTCTATGAAAATTACTCATTCAGTCCTAATAGCTGAAGAAAGCATAACACAATGGCAATTTCTGCTAAGGTGACAACGGAACCCACAAAAACATATTGGGTTTGTTAGCAAAGTAAACTGAGAGGCTCTTCATGCATGGCAGAAGAAGATAAAGGAACATCTTTGGGCCACGCTTGCTTACAATGCTACACATGTGTACCTCCACACGGGAGAGAAAAGAGATGAGGATCTTGGTTTGTGATCAATATTGTAAATATTAATAATCTTATTAATAGCTATTCTATGTACATTATATATTTCATATATATTATATACACATTAATACAAAGTTCCCTGGCAAAATCACTTCAGACAAATGTATTCCCAGTAGGAAAGAGTCTGTTCAAATAGAAAATTACATGGGAAACATACACAATTAATAGACAGTTATGTGGGAAATATGCACTGGAAATACATGAAATTTTTCCCTTTGTTTAAGGCCCCTGCTGGGGGAAAGAAAGACGAGCTGCTCCCATCAAATGCATGCTCAAAGAACTTTGCAGAAAAGGATATGCACCATCAGCCCAGAAAACCTTTCCTCTGCACGTATTCCCACGGATGAAATTGCTTGTAGGAAGCCCCTGAGCACTAACAGGTAACAAATACAGGCTGGTGGCAAGAAGCAGGAGCCAGAACTGCAGCTGTAGCCATTCATAGCCAAAGATAATTCCAAGAGAAAATTAGAGAAGCAGATGTAAGATGCTGTTACCTACATTACACATTCTCCTGCTGGCCAGCCTGCTCAGGATACACAAGAGGCCATGTATAACAGCCATAAATACAGGGAGCTGACAGGTACCTGCCTCAGCTCAGCTCCTCTTATCATCTCATGAGACATCTGGGGAAAGGCAGAAGAGAATTCACAGGGTGAGTGGATTAAAACCACTCTTGCAAGGAGGGATGAAGAAATCAGTTTCCTGGGATTTTGGTATTCTAATTAATTAGAGCAGCATTACAAGAAGAGATCAAGGCTCCATTTTAGAGGAGGCAATTACCCAACTCCAACACCTTTCAGGATACTTACAAAATCAATTCTCATCCAAGAGAACTGTATGAAAGTAATTGTGCAATTGTTTTGCACTGGCATGAAGAATACGGTGTAACGAAAGGGAAGGAAAAAAGGTCTGTCTGCATATGTTTGCATAGCACTGGTCCTGTTAAGCAATCCCTGCAAGTGGCAGAAAGTTATCTCCAGTTTATAAAGACACTTGTGAAAAGCAGAAACCTTTCTTTTTGATGCAGCAGATAATACACATTTTTATAAGTTGCCTAAGGAAGGTGATATCCCAGCACTCGTGCAAAAAGCTTGTTTGGAACTGACCAAATTCCAGAGCAACCCAGAAACTTGAATAAACATAAATCCCAAAACTCAACAGCAGTCTTGCTCACATCTGTTGGCTTCCAGCAAATCTTGTTAGCAATTTCCTAGAAGACTCTTTATTAGGGAAAAGGTTATCTTGAAAAAGACTAAACACCTTCCAGCATCATTTCTAGAGATTTTGTGTGTGTGATAACAAGCAGAATGTAACTTGTTATGTGCAATGCACATAAGATCACATTCAAAATGTGCTTGTATTATTGTGTGCATCCATTTAAACAAAGTTTGTTCAACAGACTTCTTTGACATGGGCTGTGAAAGCAATTATGACTGGGTCTTACAGCCTGCTCTGAGACAAGTAATCATCCTGTTAGTCTGCTATACGCAGATGTGCATTAAGTTAACATGTAGTGAGATTAAAAGCCTGAAAGCTGCCTGCTGGCAGCACTGGCACTGGGAGAGACTGACATAGCTATGCACTGCTGCATTTAGTGACTTGGACCTGGGCAAGATGGGATAGAGTTGGCTGATAGGGCTCGGCTGTGGCCGGGACCTTCCGCCTCGCAAGCAGCCCCGAGAGATGAGGTCAGCTGCACCCTCTAGTGAATGTACCCTGAGCAGGCACTGGCTGTACATAGCTAAGGGGAATAGGGGCAGGCACAAGAAAGGAGATCAGTCCCACATCAGAGAAACTGCAGCCCTGTAAGAGCAATTCCTGGGAGTCTCGCAGCCCACCCATGGGGCAGCAGCTGGGAATCACCGGCAAACATGCATTCCCAAACTGAAAAAATAATTAACTGCCTAGTTTCTTTTAATTAAGATCTTGACTTATCCATCACTCCAGGATATGCAGATGTTTGGCTGCTGGGATGTATCAACACACCTGAGCACTGGAGGCAATTCGTCTCTTGGCTTCATACCTCAGGAGACAGCAAAGAGGAGCTCACATCCTGTAATACCTGTGCAGCCCAGCTTATAGCATTGGCTGTGTCTATGGATGTAAGACTTTGTTACTAGTAATATCCCTGATGCTGCCTTGGTAGAGATTTTCATATGCAAATTTTTGCATGCTAAACGTGTTCTGCTGTTCTGGCATCCTTGCATCAGCTAAGTGCCAAAGTAGCATGCATCATTTTACACTTATGTAAGGAAATAAAGTTTTTGCCTCAAGGATATGATGTTCCAAAGACAGAGATAACATGATGGGAAATGACAAGGAGCAGTGGAGAAGGGGGGGTATGGAAAACAAAAGAGACAAATAGAAAAGAGAAGGGGCAGGGTACTGCCATGGGAAGACAAACCTGATTTTTTCATTTCAGCATGTAAGATGTTTTCCCCAGGTTATCCTTCTTTAGGATTTTTTAAGTTAGTTTTTTGAACATCGTCTTCTCATTTGCTACCTCCTTAGGACCATTATTTTGCTTCCTCTGCACTTACAGAATAATCAGTGGATCTTATATAGAGGATGATGCTACTCTGTGTAAATGCAGCCCCTAAACAATAGGAATCACTCAGTGCCATGAAAAGCAACATTAATGATAGAAACTGTGGACAACTGTAAACAAATTTATCCCTTCAGTTTTTCTCTTCCTCCTTTTCTTTATTTTCTGTTATTCAGGCCTGTGAGTTACAGCATCTCTGACCAGAAAATATCTGTTCAAATCAATGTCTTCAGCTTGAACTAATGACCCCGCCACCATTGCAGCACCAGGCCTGTCTCTGACAGAAGCGGGGGTGTCCACCCCATTCTGTCCTGCACTGCCTCCAATGACTGGTGGCTCTGCAAGACTTTAACTCATGCAGCCAAGGCATCTAGTATTGATGATTAGAAAGATAATAGGATTGTTACTGAAATCCCTTTTCATCCCTTGGCATGGGCAGTTCTGTTTGGATTGCTGTTTATTTTTTACTAATTCAGGGATACCTATGCTGTCAGGCCAAGATTCTGCTCTTACCTAAAATACCCTAAAATGGAATACCTTATTAAAATATAATTCAGCTAAAAGTTAAAACTTCCATGACAAAATAATAAACCCCTGAAAGCTAGTGTCAGGATGGAAAGCCTGATACATACGTGTTCATGAAGAACAAACCTGCTTATTTTATAGCCCACCTAGAAATCCATTTTGTATGTCTTTCTCAGAAGTGAGACATGGGAGGTACTAGTAACAGATAACATTGTTCAGAAATGCTTGATGTATTGATGTTAAGCACATACTTATATTCAGTGTGCTCTCCTGTTTCCATATTGCAATACCTTGGTGAAATTGTTTTGTACGCTGAGATTTGCCACTACAGACAGCTTACAGAAAGTCAAAGTGAGACAGTCATGACAATGTCATATGGAAACGCCATTGGTGTGCATCACTTCAAATTCACAACATCGATTCAACAAGGCAGCCATGGTCATTGGCACACAGTTACTAGATCTCATTAATGCAATAATAACAAAGCTTTGATTCAGAGTAAATACACATTATTAACACATTGTATTAACACCACAGCAAAGATACTATACTCTCATCCTCCTCAACATGATGGATATTAACCAGAGTTTTCTTAATTCTCTGCAGAGAGGATCAAGCCCATATGGAGTTACTATGCTAGACAAAGTGGTGGAAGAAAAGCCAGCTCCAGCAATCCCAGGCCAGGTGCTCCAGCAACCTGCTGCTTTACACTATACCCCTTATGCCACCACAGGGCTCCGAGATGAAAGCTGAGCCCCCTAACCCCTAAACCGTTCAAAGAGGTTTGGGACTCTGCATCTCTAGGCAGGACCAGCTGCCTGAGCATGCAGATGGGATGGGATGGGATGGGATGGGATGGGATGGGATGGGATGGGATGGGATGGGATGGGATGGGATGGGATGGCTGTAGCCCCTGGGAGCAGGGCGCGCACCCCTGGCTGCCCGGCGGTGCTGTTGAGTGCAGGGCAGGCAGGAGGAGAAGATGCTGGGGAGGAGAGAGGGAAGGATGCTCCTCCTGAGGACACCTCCGGGCCGACAGCTCCCCCGCCGCCCTTACCTGCGCCGTGCGCCTTTGTTCCTCCGGCTGCCGCTCCGGTAGCGCCCCGGCCGCCCGGCGGGGGCCATCCTCGTCCTCCTGCCCCCGCGCCCCCCCGTTGTCCCGGCGGAGGCGGCGGGGCTCCGTCGCAGCCCGGCCCCGTCTCAGCCCCCGCAGGACGATGAGCGCGGCCGCAGCCGCCCCCAGCAGTACCGCGGGCCAGAGCATGGCCGGCAACCGGGCCGGCAGCCCCAGCTCCCCCGCGCCCAGAGCCAGGCGCACCGCCGGGCCCAGCATGGCCGACCCCGGGCCGCCCCTCCCCGGGGTGGGGAGGGGAATGGATGCTGCGCTCCGCTCCGCTCCTCCGCGCGAGGAAAGTTGGTGCCGGAGCTGCGTTGGTCGCGGCGGGCGGCGGCGGCAGGAGGGGTACCGGGGGCGCGGACACTGCTGTGCTCACGGGATTCCCGATGCGAAGGGCTTGGCCGTGAGGGCGGTTGCGCGGTGCAGGAGGGTGGGGACGGAGCCCGGGGGATGGGAGGAGGGGGCGAGTGCTCGGGATGAATCTCTGCAATGGGCGAGTGAATGCGGGAGAAGCGATCGCGAAGGCGATGCGGTTCAAAGCAGCGGAGCCGCAGGCATCAGCGTTAATTTGAGAGCAGGTCCCGAGGGGGTGGACACGAGTGATGTGTTTTCGCAAAATTCACCTGTCTAGACAGAAGAGTTTTTAGGACTGCACATCTCAGGCGCCGTTACAAACGTGCCACCATCGAGCAGCATCCTTGTGATGATTACAGGAATTGCCGGTGTAATGCGTTCTCATCTAGCGCTGAACCTTGGAGAAACAACCGTTCATCACCGCTAGAACGCTAGGCAGAGTGCCTCAAACCACAGACCTCTCGGCTTCGCTGGATGGAAAATTTCTCCACCCACCTGATGAATAAGTGCAGGTGATGCTCTCACGAAGCATCTTTCAAAGTCACAGAGCTTCTTGTAAAATGGCAAGTTGTATTTCATCTTGGCCAATCTCGAGGGGTGACCTCTGACAAATAGGCAGTCAATAGCAGTGAAAGGAGCCCCCCTTGCAGAAGTGTCTCTCAGCATGGTCATGGCTCACACCTGGCACAAACTCAGGTGTGAGCAGGGCATTACTACAAAGATAGTAAGTAAAGCTTATTTAAACACAACAGCATAAAATGGATAAAACTATGCACAAAAAGCATAAGCCTACATGTTTGTAGTAAACCAAGTGCAAAGAAGGGGTTGGGAAGGAAATGGCCTTTATCTGTCTTGGCTTTATTTCACACCCAGTGGGGACCAGTCTTCTCCCAAGCACGGATCCAGACACTGGAGCTTAAATCCAAACACACTCTTGCCAGAGACAGCAATGGGGAAGGTTTGTTATCCATCCCTCCACTGGATTACCGCCTTTTCAGGGATGAAAGATTAATCATTCCTGGGCCTAATTCCAATTCATTGAACAAGTTTAGGCTTTGAAAGCACAATAAGGTGTCATAGCACTTGAGAAATTTCCAGACAAAATACATGAGGATTGTTAATAAAATGATGTGCTGATTGGCTTTACGGGGAGAAGAAGGTTTTATGGAGGGAGTGAAAAGTCTTTAATAATCAGAAGAGGGCCATGGGGGTATAGTGGTATTTTAAATGCTGTTGTTGGGATGGTAAACTTCCTTTTAAACATGGGTCCCACAAATTATCTGTTTTCTGTCTATCTCATCCTGCCTGTCTTCTAAAGTTCAGCACTGACTAATCCTGTGCTCTGAAACCTCAGGATTTTCAGTGTTTCTGTGCCTAGCTCTGATACTGATTCCTTATGAGAATATGTCTTGTACCTATCTGGAGCGGTAAGGTGGTACCTGGGTAGTTATGTGCAAATATCAGAGACTGGGGGCTTCCTCTGAAGTTAAAAAATAGCAGTTATGTGATTAGTTTTATGACAATTTGATAGTTGTTTTTTCCCTGTCTTGATTTTTCGGCTCATAAAATGCAGATACATCTCCGAGCTGTTAAAAAGCAAGCAATCTATACCTTGGATCATAAATAAATATCACTATTTTCATCTCATTGAAATTAGTTTGCTTTTCTTTTTCCCAGGGAATCATAAGCTGAAAGACATTTCAGGAGTCGGTGTTGCTTCACTGACTATGAGATCACTGCTTCACACCATTCCTTTCTATTTCTTTTTATTTTCCTCCACAAAATAAAGGCAGTTACTGTGGCTGGCCTGTAACAGGATATATTTTTGAAGAAAACCATCAACATATTAGACCTTTTTCTAGTATTAATACAGGCTTATTTAACAGCATACCCCTTACAGCGTTGGTCTATGAAAATAGCGTGGATTCTCATGATGACGTTATATGGAAAGCCTGAAATTTTACTGCAAGCTTGAGAAGACATTTTTCTGTTTATGTGTAACACAAACTTACTGCAGGTGTCTGATGGGAGTTGTTCTCCATTCGGACTCAGGAAGAAAGTCCAATAACCAGGAACTGGAACCATCTACTCGTTATATATCAAGATCCAGTCTTATTAATGTTTAAATGTTTCATGAAAACAGTTTGATTTTGACAAAAACACATCATGATTTTTAAAAAAGAGGCAAAAATCTCATTTTGGGTTGTTTTCATGATAGAAGCAGACCAGAGTTTTCTAGCTGAAATTAAAACATAAACTTTTATTTTATTTTTGTATTGAATTGTGAAAAATTGAAGTTTTCTGGAAAAGAAAGTAGGCAACAAAATAATTGTTTTAATAGCATTTCCTAGAAATTATAAGTTCTTGACCTGATGTCAAGATAGCAGTATACTTAACGATTCACCCGTGGAAGTGAAGTACCTTACACCAACACTGCTCATGTTTAATCAGCAACAACAGATGTGATAGGAAAAACAAGTGATTTCAAACAAGTCAGAGATGTAAAGAGGAAGCTTTTAAACTGCCTCAGCAAAAGTACGTTTGAGAGGCAGCAAGAAGACCTCTTGACAGTATTTAATACTCCTTAATCATCTTCCCTCAACTGAAGTTCAGAATACTCTAGCTGAAACAAGGCAGATCAGTTTTGTTTTTATCAGCTGCTTGGACAGCTTCAAGTAAGGGCAGAGAATGAGCCGTGTCTTCCCTGCTAGGAAAAACTGGCGCTTACCACTTTGCTCAGAACAGACCCTGCCCTTAACATTACAAGGCTGTGTCCTCCCCTCTCTGAGACTATGGGAATCTTGGGTAAGTACACAGAAAATAATAGGGTTTTGCATTGGTTTAAGCAACTCAGAGCAGCTCTTCTTTCTTTACCTGGTTTCTGAGTTCTCTGTTGGAGCTGTTTCTGGTGAGCACTGTGCAGATGCAGGCGACAGGATGTTCAATGGGACAGAGATGAAAGCACAGATCTCCATTTCAGGCATTCATGGTTAATGAAATGCAGAGCTAGGACATGTTCCCCAGGCACTGAGTCTTGACAGGAGTCCCTGCTTCTGGCTGTGACCCTCTTGCTCAGCTGTAATGAAGCTAATTTGCAAGCTAAGATGATCTTGCAACCTGTGGCTTAGTTACTTATAGGCTTGAAGGGACATTTGCTCTAAATCCCAATGTTCATCTGCTGATGTACAGGAGAAGTATTAATAACATATTTGTGTAATTCATAAACTTTCCCATTTTCCTCCTGTCTGAGGCCCTCGTGCACTAGTTACTTCCTGCGAACACATGTGAAGCTGATAAACTTCCGATCTTGCTTTGCCTATCGTTGAGGAAACTGAGAAGCGTGATAGCTGCATGCCTGGCAAAGCATGACAGTAACCAGTAATGAGAGACGAGCGTTCCATCTGTTCAGGCTATTCAGCTCTTTGCATGCTGCCCACGTGGCCAGGTATTTGCCGTTAAAAAGGATGATTAAATCCTTGACAAGCTGATGTCTGGCCTGGCAGTCCGGCATTTCCTTTCGGCATCTGTGGCTGATTACAGGAATGCAGCTTTATAGATTTTTACTAATTATCTAATAGCTTTTCAATCTCTTGTTTCAGTACATAGAACTGGTGTTAATGAACTGCAGATCTTCAGCATACCATTCTTAACTGATTCCCCTAGTAAGTATGTTTAACACTTGCCTCGGTTTCCTGTACATGATTCATTCAGCTGGTAAGTGATCCATCTTTGTTTGCTGTCAAAGTCTTTGAGTTGGAAAAGGACTTTAATCATGTTACTTGGCTTTTCTGAACAGGGAGAAGAAATGGAGTCAAATAAGCACGCAATGGTAATGCAGTCAAATAAGAACCATGGCCTGAGTTTCCTTCACTAATAAAAAGTTGTGCAAGCTTCAATTTCCCTTTCATTTTCAGAAAGAACATACTGGAAGCATCTATTCAGACAAAGATGTGAAATTAAAACAAAGAAACAAAAACATCTGGAAAGGAGGAAAGAAAGCACTTTCCCAGCTTATGCGTTAATTAAGACCAGTCAAAGAAAACTGCTTCAAAAGGAAGGAGGAAGCCAGCACTAAGCACAGCCGCAACTGCTTTTAATTGGCTGTATCAATGACATGCATGGTAGACAAAGCCATAGAAGACATTAATGCAACAATGTCAGTTCAGTGGGTACATCGAAAAAGTTGGAGGCAAAACTGAAGTTACTGAATAATAAAGTTGTTTCACTAGCAGATTTGTCAGCAACAGTATGGGACAAAGGAACTTGTTTAGCAGAACATGATCATCTTGAGAACTGTAAACACTACTGGTTTAAAGATAAAATCAAAGGCCTTGAGAGCAAAGCAGAAGCAGACATAAAAATATGCATAGTTGGCTTTCCTGAAGAAGAGTTTTGCATCCCTGACAGACAATTCAGAAACAAGCTGTTAAGTGCCCCAGGTCACTCTTGCACCCTTAGCATCCACCTCCCCTGTGCAGAGCTGCATGAATATACAGCAGCACTGGTAGGTTTTCTGCACATGCCACTGGCAGTGGAGATCTGGGAATCTGGCAGAAGAGTTTATTCCCTATTCCCTTCCCCGCTACAAAAAAGCTGAGTGCAATTATAACACACTAATATTTAATACAATAAAAAATTTGAGTTGCCTATCAGTAGAAGACAGGACTGTTACTATGTTCCTTACATGCATATTTGCCCTCAGTGTTGTTCAGCCTGTGTCTCTGATCCATCTGTCTGTGAAAACAGAAACTGGTGATTCTCTATTTCTTTTGACAGTCAATTCAAGCTCTTGCTTTAAAAACTTTCTAGGCTCTTCATCAGAGACTGGCAGCACGTGTGCATTTTTTGAAGATAATGATGACTACAAGGAAGTCTCCTAAAATGAGCATAAGTGTCTGTTCTTGCTTTATTCCAGGCTGGCACATGACACAGTGAACACAGACTAGGTTAGTGATGACACACTGTTTATTGCTATCAAAAACAACACTCAGAGAGATGCAGCTGACACACAGGAGGGAAGCGATTGTTACCCTCAGGGAGGCTTTACTGTCAAAAATGCGTAAGTATCCATAAGAGTGGCTTATG